AGTCTCTGAAGAAAGTGATTTTGTATCAAAATAATTGAATCTCATCTGACAACCAGTTTCTAAAAAGCACCCTACAGGATTTTTTCAGTTCCCATTGATTGAGGTATGTAATAAAATAAAATATATGAAGTATGATAGAAAAACCCCTGTATTTTTTTATAATATATTCAAACTGTACTAGTATCCCCCAACAGATAACTAGGATTTTATCAGAGGATCTCAAGAACTTCACACAGGAGGAGCATAATTGTTCCTTCTAACAAGCGAGATATTGGCATAAATTTCAGTGTTACACACTAGAAGAGCTGGACAAAACCCTCTTGACTGCTACACAATGATCTTGCCATCAAGGATACAAACCTGACCCTAAAAACTCCTTAGTTTCTGAACCTACATGACGTGCCTCTCCAAATGCCAGGTTACTCCTTTGAAATGATGCCTTAGCTGTATGGGAAGATCAGGGTGGCAGTATGTGACTTTAGGAATACATTTTAAGAAATCAATCATTAAATAGGTAAGTTAAAAAAACACTGGGTGAAATAAATACACGTTATTTTGCCATTAAACGTTATTTTGTGGTTCTGATAAAGGTCCCTCTGTGGGTTACTATGGACCCAATCTTTCACTCAAGATCCTTCACCTGATTTAGAACATCCTTGAAATGAAGAGAACCTGAATTTATCCCCTTCATGGGACTGTTCTGCACTGCTTGCAGTTGTTTATCCTGTAAGTAGCTGAAGTTCAAAGCATTGTTTTGATACTTCACACCCCACTATTCCTGTCTCTTTTCTGCTCCACACTAGGCAAACCACAAACAAGATCCCAAACACAAAGACGTCTGAGGCACCAGCATGCTACAGAGAGCAGAAACCACTGACATGAAACTACAGTTACAAGATTCATATTACATCAGTGTTTTTTTTTCCTTCCTTGCTGTGTTTACACAGTTATTTCTTCAACATAAAACTCAGTAATTAGCTAACGACAGCTCCAATAGGCAAGGGAACCAAGTTTGGCTGCCTCCTGAGAAGAGAAAATTACCCTGAGAAAGCAGCAGCAAACATACCTACCAAAAATTATGTCTACTTAAGAAAAAATTTTGGCAGGCAGGTGGTTGCTTGACTACATGTGGGGTGCAGGGCAGGTCAAGGTCCTCAAACTAAACGTGGATTCCTCCACAAAAAAACAATTTGAATTTTAAATAGAAAATGGTTAACGGAAAAAAACTGTGTGCAGTTGGCAGGGAATGAGAAGTGGAATCCAGGAGTTTCACCTGACAAAGTGGTGACACACACAAAAACAAGCATGGGAGGAAAGAAAGCACTAGAGCAACTGAGGAGTTGACCAAACACTTATTCTGGAAGATGGCAGCAAGGACTGCATCCCTTCAGATGATGGATGAGGAGTTTCTCACTACTCAGTCTCTGACTCCAGACCTGAACTCCAAAACCTACAAGTTCAACTGTCAGCTGGAAGAACAAACATTTTAGAAGCTGGTACCAGAAGGAATCACAGCTACATTCAGACAGCTCAGTACAGCCTGTCTGATTTCAAAGATGGTGAATGATTCTAGGTCCTACCACCTTCAGAAGATGCTCTTGGTGGATGCCTGACATTTCTGAGAATTAGGCCACTTAATCACAGGGGCCTAAGTGCTGTTTTAAGGAAATAATTCTAGGCATCCTAGTTGAATAACCTTAACCAAAAGATCCCTTTAAAATGGAGTTTTCTATTTGAAATGAACAAACGTAAAGTATTGTCCCTTGACTTCAAAATGTTTTCAATCATTTCCTCAGTGGCTCAGCATCTTGCAAGGACAGCAAAGGTACCCAGCTGGATGGCTTCCACTTTGCACCATCTTTTTTCTGCAGCTTTCAACAACATTTGCCTTTCTGGGGACTTGGTTCATGCTTGCTACTGCCCAAATAAACTCAAAGCAACATAATCTCCAAAATGAAACCTAGCTAAGAAACACCACTTCTGTTGTCACACTTTTAGCAAGTGAGGCTGCTGTTCTAATTTTCACCTTTTTCTTTTTTTTTGCAGATGGACTACATTTGCTTTGTAGAACACACTGGAAAATGTATTAGTTGTTTTATCCCACAAGACATCCTATGAATAAAAACCAACCTGCTTGGAATTGATAAATACATGACCCAATGAATCACTAACCCTTCCCCAAAAGTGGTGATAGTTAGAAGGATTCAACTGTAAGTGTGCTTATACATCACAGAATCACAGAACCATTAAGATTGGAAGGGACTTAAAGATCATCAAGTTCCACCCCCCCCTGCCATGAGCAGGGAACCCTACCACTAGACCAGGTTGCACAAAATCTCATCCAACCTGGCCTTAAAAACCTCCTGTTTTTTTTGATGGGGCATCAATAACCTCCCTGGGCAACCCATTCCAGTTCCTCACCACACTTATAGTGAGGAACTTCTTCCTAATATCTAACCGAAATTTCCCATCTCTCAGTTTAAAACCATTACCCCTTGGGTTTCAACCACACCACACAGCTTGGTATCATCAGCAAACCTGCTGAGGATACACTCAACCCCACTGCCCATGTCTCCAACAAAGATGTTAAACAGCACTGGTCCCAATACTGATCCCTAAGGGACAGCACTTGTCACCTGCCTCCATTTGGACATTGAGCCATTGACTAAACTCCCTGGGTTGCATATGAGGATGCATTTGTAGAGGAGATTTACTTTTGCTTCAGCATCCACCTGTTGAACACACTACAGTACAGACACGTGAATAAAGATACAACCACTGCACATGATACTGGTGTGTCCAGCTCTTGACATAATGTAATACTGCTCCTTAAAGTCCTTTGGTACCATCAGTGTCTCCAAAAAGAAGTTGTAAAAAGTCTCGAGGAAAGCAGCCATGAAACTGATCTTTAGGGGACATCAACAAAATAAACATACATTAATTACTCACATTCTTTACGTGTAACCCTGTGAAAGGCTTTATTTCTCAACACCAAATATATACTCCTCTTGAATAACAAATACAGTGCTACCCTTGCTCAAGTTAATATCAACAATTTGCAAAGCTGAGGCTCCAACTGAGCATCCCAAATAGAAAACTGTGCCGTCAGAGGTTATATTTAATATCCAAGTGTCCTTTATGCCAGCAGTTTCCCACAGGGTAATGGCATGTGTTTGTGTGGACAAAAGGAACTTCTTAAGCTTTCCCAATGAGCTTCCAGTTGGCTCTAACAACAGAACAGCTTCATTTTCTGCCTTCCTTCTTTATCCTCCTGCCTCATATTTTCTGCGAGACACAGAACAGTGTTAGTGAATTCATAATTTTACTTCACTATATTCAAAAACATATTATTTATGAGTCTTTAGAAGGGCATAATTCAAGTTCCCAGTGGTCACTAGCAATGCCCTGTTAACGCCTTTCTCCATCAGAACCATTACTGGTAGCTCCACAGCTGTGCATGAAAATGTACTGTGGGACTTTATCTCCCATACACAACAATGGAAAAAGGCTCTCACAAAAACCCACTGAGGATGTTTATAGCACAACAAGGAAAAATCTTGTGAAAAATCCCAAGAAAAACGGAATTATTTTCTTTTTCTTAAAAAACAAACAAACAAACAAAACCCAAACCACAAAAAATCAACAACAAAAAAATCATCCAACCTTAAAAGTGACAGCACTGCAAAGAATATTCAAGGAGCTATTTTGTTTTGTATTGGAAGAGGGAGTACTTTGCAAAAATGTCCAGATTCTGTCCAAAACTTTAAAATAACCTAACAGCTTTGGCATGCTGTGGTTAAGACATTACCGTAAGTCTGACTTGGAAGACTAAAATGTTTCTTTTTTAAGATAAAAAACGAAGGAGAAAAAAATAGATTTCAACACTATTTGAATTCGACATTATTCTGGGACTTTTTATTTGAAGTTTTTTTAAAAAAGTATTTATCTAAGCCTTTTCTTCACTATGTGCTTTTCTGGCTTTTATTTACAGAGAATTAAAAACATTCTGACAGACTTAATCAATTGTTATAGCATGAAAAAAAACAACCTATCAGGAAAATACCATATAGACCACATAAAATTTATTTCCTTCCAGGAATGAGATGCTCAGAGGGGGAAAAAAAAGAAAAGCAAACACTTGCTGAAGTTGAAAACCAAATGATCGGCAGATCAGCATTTCTGTTTTGTGAGTGGTTAAGAACTTGAAGCATTGTCTAGGCTGAGGTTCACAAGATGCTTCACCAGGAACGTAGGGACAAAGGCTGGAATTGGTGCTCAGCCAATTTCAAATAAGGGGTCTTTTTAACTCATCAAAAATGATCCAACATGGCCCTGTTGTTATTTAATCTAACACACTTCACATAAGAAGTGAAAAGCTTCACTGCTTGGAATGTTGATCTGGAATATCTGACTCCTATTCTCTGACTTTCACACAAAGTTTATCCTAATGCAAGGAGTCCACTTTAACCTGCTGTATAATTTCTGAGGATACAAGCATGTCTGTAGCACTCGGTGGGGTTGGTACGTGAGCTTAAGTTTTACCCTTCTCTTGCAGGCACAATGGAGGAAAATGAATGGACCATTAACAAACCCAGCCTGGATGGACCTGCTCCTCAGAGCAGCTCTGTCTCCTCTCCATGGATCACTCACCCAGAGACAAACACACTGCATTAAGGGAAATTCCAAACAGCTCCTTTTCCAGGGGAGCACAGAGAGCCCAGGCTGCAGCACTCCTGGGTCTGCCTGGTTAGGAAACACAGGAGAGGCAGGTGCTGTTCACAGATGTGCTGAAAACGAGCCATGATGTTCCCTGTGCTTTCTCTCCAGTTTGAGAGGCTGCTGCTGTTCACAGATGTGCTGAAAACGAGCCATGATGTTCCCTGTGCTTTCTCTCCAGTTTCTCAGTGAAGAAGGGGCTACAGGCAGTTTGTCAATACATGAGCCTTGCTGCTCCATTAAGACAAAAGCCTGACACTTCAGGCTAGATGTACCAAAGTGTTTTCATGCTGCCCACAGACCTGACCCACAACAGAATTTGCTTTCTACTTTAGATCTCTAGACAAAACACTCAGTCCTTAAAAGATGCCACCATACTGATGTCACTTGTCATTTTTTTCAACTAAGTTACTTAAGAGATTTAGCATAGACTACTGACAGCAGCAGTGTTGTTAAACCTGGTAGTCTACCACACTAATAATGACCACAGAGAAGTCTTCTTGATCTTTCTCTACCAATACCCACTATGTGAGACTAAAAAATGGATGCACTGGCCACAGACAATGCAATACGATCCCGAAAGAGAAGATTATCAGGTGCTAAACAATTAGATTAAGTACAGATGAAGTGCATTTGCTAAATATGAGTAATTTTGTTTATGAATTTATATTTTATACATTGCCTATTAGTCATACAATGCATGTGGCACGTTGCATGCTCTGAAAGAAAAGGATAAGGAGTTTATATTAGAGCGTCCACCTGGCAACTGAAAAACACAGGGAAATTATCCTTTCCATTGCTGAATTTTTAAACAGCTGCAATTTACCACAATCCCATTTATTCCTAAGAATCCAGAGAGGATGCAACAGCCAGGGGCTTGCTACTCTCTAACTGATCTGAAAAAATGTAATTAGATCACAAAGTAGAAAAGCCTGAGCAAATTCAATTACTGCTGCAGTTATTTCATCTGCTCTGCAGATTATGGTTGAATTACCACTGGAAATGAGAACCAACGCAGTGATGTTGCCACTTATTTACCCAAATGTACTGAGGACCAATTCAGCCCATGGATATTCCCACTCAACTCCAAAAGTCAATGGATACAACACAAAGTGGGCAAGACTGGAAGGGCATATAAATACTCATGAAAGACGTCCCAATTCAGTGCTATATGCCGTGAAAAAGATACTCAGGCAAGACTATTATGAGTAACAATTTGGATGGTAACATGAAATTCCACATAAGGCTGTCAAAACAAAAAAAACATCCCTTAGGGATTGTGCTATAGTTTGGAGGCATTGGCATTGTGGAGGAGCACTGGGATATCATGAGGGAGCACCGTGTGATTTTGAGGAGTGGAGTAATAGAAATGGGACGAAATTCAACATGACTAAACACATAAGCATGCACTTGGGGACTAATAACTGCCATAAGTTACAGCAACAGAAATGAGATGAAACTTTGTATTACTAATTGAAAGATCACACAATTCAAAGCTGTATTTGGTATGAACTGGAAGATCTTGAGTTGACAACTGAGAAAGAGGCATCCTGGTGCACACATCAGATGGTTCAAGATGCCAGCAGGATGCACCACGCAAGAGAAGTGACCTGTATCATATACTACCAGTCAAGATAGAAAAGATCATGATCATTATACATCATTGCAATCTCATCTGCAAGAATTGTGCTTACTGCCAGTGACCCACATTTTGAAAAGTTAAGTGAAAACATGAACAAGTGCAGAGAAAACACACAAGGGTAAAGAAAAGAATTCACTGTGAGAATGGAGATGAGAAGTGGGCTGGTGTAACTGTGCCAAGTCAAGGCTGATTTGGGTGGTGAGACACTGCAACAGGTTGTCCAGGGAAGCTGTGGATGCCCCATCCCTGGAAGAGTTCAAGGACAGGTCGGATGGGGCTTGGAGCAACCTGGTCTAGTGGAAGGTGTCCCTGCTCATGCAGGAGGGCTAAAACAATATTATCTTTGAAGTGCCTTCTAACTCAAACCACTCTATGATTCTACAACGTGAGCCCCTGGAAATGCACCAGAATACTGGAGAGAAACAGGAACACAAGGCAGGAAAACTCCTGGCTTGATCTTCAGTGAAATACAGTCCAAGAATACACTGGCATAAACTTCCCATAAACTAATGAGTACTGGAAACTGGAGAGGTTGTTGAAGATGAAAAAGCAATAAGGATTAGGAAGAGCAGAAGATGGGGAACACGCCTCACTAATGTACACTGGAACTTTCAATGTGATACCCGGCAACTGGGCACTCAAATTCAGAAGATCCTTTTAATCCCATGCTCCTGGACTGCAGTGCCTGCTAACCCTGCAGAAATGGTGGCTGGAAGTCAAACAGTGCTGACGTTGTAACCTAGTGCTGACATCAGCTCGTGTGTTTGCAGCTCTGCATTAGCAACCTGCACCCCTAAAGGGTTAGGTCTCTCTAAACATGCAGCTGAACAAGGAGCTAAGAGAAATCTCATTTGACCTGCCTCTTCCTAAAGAGACATCCCATATATCAAGGCTGAATTAAATTCAGTTTGAAATTACTGATAGAAAAATTGATCTCTGTGGAAGAAAAAAACCCAACTAAGCCTTTCACTATAATGGTGCAATTTAAACACACTGTGTCTCACTCCTTTGAGACAAAAATGAAACTGAAACATTTTGACTCCTACAACACACTGAAGTATATTAAATCCCATCACCAGCAAGAGGTGAAGTTTTCCTCCCCTTCACAGCACTGCATAGACTTGGTGCAAACCCCCTCTTAGCATTCATAATCCCTGGAAAAATGTAATTTATGTTTGTGGAATACAACTGCAAAAGGGCAGGACAACTCATGGTTTGATACATGCCAGCAGGCACTGTCATTTTGCAAACAGCCTCTTCAACTACTGCAAAAGCCAAGGTCAGCTAACCCAGGTCCTGATGATGTCTGGAGGAGCTCCACTGCTTCCAAGTTTTTCAAAGGTAAATATTCCCATATGTAATACTGAGTTACAGTAGGTACATGTTTTTCTCTGCAGTTCAAAGCAGTATGCCAAGACTTGTTTCCCAGAAAAAAACAGCCTCAAAACAGAACTTATCAAAGCCACTGGAATTTCTCCACTAGCACCACCACTGCAGATCCCCATGCCTCTACATGGAAATGACACATTTTCATCCATAGGTGCTTGCAACTCAGTATTTAAATACAGAAGCACTAGTTGGGTGTTTATTCTAGAGGTACAAATGCTTTGTGTTTACTTTCAGAAAATCAGGCCATTTTAAATTGGTTTATCAAACTGAAAACTTTTGGCCCCAGCTGCTGTCATCCCACATTACTGACAGCTCCTGCAGCTCTTCTGCCAATGAAACTGAGAAGGGCTTCACGTGGAAAAACAGAGAGTCCCTGACTGAGCAACAACAGCTGATTTCTTGATACCTAAAACTTCTCAAGATGAGACTGAATGGGTTATCCCCCTGAAATTCAGCCTGGTTTTATATCAGCAAAAGGGATCCCAAGCCAGGTTTCAACTGTCCTGCAGATAGTTTAATGAGGTAAGTACACACCTGCTGGTGGCCAAGCCTTGATATAGCCAGTGCAATGGACAACAGCATACTGGGCTTCACCTTCTTTTACTGGGCCAAGGCCATTCCTAAATGAAAAGGAAACGCAAAAATGTCACGTTGACTGACATGCAGAATAGCTATATGTTTTTAAACTACTACTAATGATTTACTGACATTTGCAAGATAGAAACAACCAACTGCCAACCCAGAGTTCTGTACAATGTCAACTTCATAACAAAGCTATTCAAGCTTTACTTGTTTTCCACAATACTCCTTGGAGAAAGGAATTGAAGCTCATAACAGAGGTGGAGCCGGTTAAGATAAAGAAGTTGAGTGACTTCCACAAGGCTTGCAAAAAGGTCCCGTGATTCTGCCACAGTTAATTTTAGTGCAGAGTTTTCCTCTCCCAAGACCCAGTGCTGTTTTACACTGTGTACTAATGTAGGTATTTGTCCAGGTCGTGCTCCTTGATTGAGCATTAGCCCAGTGGAAAATAAGAGTGCTGCTGGAAACTGTTGTGGTAAATTAAGTATCAGTACCTGTATCTTTTTCTCATGGTGGTTATTCTGTTCAGGGGTAAATGATCCAGAGGAGCATTTCCACATCTAGAAGTAAATTCATATTTGAAAGGGTTCAACAAGGAATACAAATACTCAAGATGAAAAAGCATTTTACAACCTTTATTAGTATGGACCAGTAGACAATAACAGATATTTACTTCTGGCAGAGAGTTGTAGATTCGTGTCTTCTTAGAACTTGCTGCTTCCTCCACAGGCTGAGCTTTTTGAGGGTGCTACAAATACTTACTTTATCAAGAAAACTAGAAGAGGCTACAAAAAGGGTCCCTCCTGTCCCCCACGAATCTAAAGGCTATTTGAAATAGATATTCCAAAGATGACTAAGGAATAGATACACTTCAAAATACTATAAAACAAGGGTGAAAACTAGAGAAGAATGTAAGTCAGGCCCCCAAATATCCACACAAAATGATCTCAGTGTTCCAGTAGCTTCCCTGGCATTTTGACTGTCATACACCAGCTACAATGTTTGTAGATCTCAATCTAATGTTTGCAAGAACAGACTATTTGCACTGTCAAGTAACTTTATTTAACACTTGTCCATGTACATTTTGTGATATTTCTAACTATGCCCAACTGTATAATTTTAACAATCTGTTTGAAGCTAAGTAAATAGTTTGAAGGGTAAAATCAGTTCATTTTGAACAGAAAAAAGAACAATAACAATGAAAGAAGTGATCACAAGGAAAGTTCACAGTATTTGAGGCTCATTCTGCCCAAAAGTTTTTAATAATTATTATTTTTTCATTTTTTTTCATACTAGTCACTGCCAAGGGAAAGGAATGAACAATTAAAGTAAGATTTAGAATTGCAAAAACAATAGGGCTACTGGCACACATAAAACAACTCCCATATACTGGAGTTCACAGAATTAGGGTGCCTGAAAGTAATTGCAAACTGAAATGTTGTTTTGTAAGCTAGGGATAAATTGGATATCAGGCCTGGTTTTCTTTCCACAGAAAAAGTCTTCCTCACATGACCACTATGTGCAGCTTGGAGGAAGAAAAAGCAAAGTTCCAAGTGTGTCTCTGACAGGCTGTATTTCTTTTCCCCAGTGAAGAGGGGAAAAAGGAGCTACAGCTTTCAAGTCTAATTTTGCAGGTATGAAGCATACAAACCCCCTACAAAGGTGCCCAAGAGCCATACATCCAGCTTCCTCACATGACTGGAAGAATTCCACCACATAACCAAAGTATAGGGGTCTGTTTCAATGTGTCAAATATTTTACTTTGCATGTTTCATTCCATAACAAATGTTGCATCATCTCTTTTCAACACACATATTGGATATAGGCTGCAGATGCAATTATGTACTTTCTCCTGCTAACCACACAGATTGAAATTTATTGCAATAGCAACAGGCACTTTATCCCATTAGCACTACAACAGAAGTGCCCACAAGTCCCAGTTAGAAGCTCTGAGCAGGCAGATGTGTTTAAAGAAGCTCAAGCAATGCAGGAGAAGATGGGAAATTGCAAAATAAAACCCCTCTAACAATTACTCATTTATCGAGCATCAACCAGCTGACATTTGGTTAATTCATACCAGGCTTAGGTTAATTCCCACATAGCTGGCAAGTCTGTAACTGAATTCTTGTTTGTCTTCAAGATTCTTTTAACATTATTAGTTTGCTGAAAAAATACACAGAGTTGGGCTTTCATTATACTTGTGAAAGCTTTGTTCCCCAAGTATTGATTTGAATAATTTGACTAGAAGAGACAATGGCTTACATTCCAAGGGTGAAGCTGTCATGAAGTTCTCTGGGGAAAGCATCCTACACCCCACACTGATAAAATGACTGCCACACACAAATGGGGTGCTGCTTTGCCATTAATCATAAAAGACGACAGATTTCAGTTTTACTTCAGTTCCAAAAGCAAGCATTCTGGAAATACTTAATGGGAATGTGTCACTACAGCTTTGTTTTTTAAGCAAGGTCAAATTAGTGCAACAAACTGTCTGAAGTCTAATCTGAGAGGGGTCTGGAACCATCACAGGAATACAAGGTAAACGCATATACCTCATCCTGCAAATGAAGGAACGCCTTGATCCCATGCACATTCTCATTGAGGACTGCTGACCCTCTTTCTTCACTGTTCCAGTCTTCAAGTCGAGGATTCGTCCTAGAAAAGCCAAGGAGAGCAACTGTTGTTCAGTACATGAAATTAATTCCATTTACTACAAACTAAGATAACAGTAAGTTCATAAGCCAAATGCCATTAGCCCAGTTAGGGGAAAAAATGCCAACAAAAAAATCTGGATCCTGGTCTCACACTGGTTATGTGCTGGCTTAACTCATGATTTCAGCAAGGCTGACTCTGAGTCACAACAGTAATGGTTCTTTTCTTGGTTGGCCCAAGACCAACTTCCAAGGCAGGGTCAAGAATCTGGAGGCACAGAAGACAGTAACAGCAAACATAACTTTTTGACTTGATCTGCTTGCTCCACTCTTTACCAGAAGAGCAGACAAAACAACATGCATCATTTCCCTGACAGCTGTCCCTCCTTCCCTGGGCCCTCGTGTCTATCCAGAACACTCTCACCATAACACCACATCACACATTCAAGGCTGCTCAGGCAGGAACACATAAGAGCAAGCTTTTCTCCTTGGTGTTGAGATACAGGGATGTCACAGCAACACTTGTGCTGAGGCCCTTTCAGAATTGATCAACACCTGACATGTCAGCAGATTTTTAAAGATAATTTTCAGCCAGATCAGTGAGATAATCTGACTCGGCCACAGTGACACGAGTCTATGCAAGGTCCATGGCTGGACCCTGCTGATCAGCATAAGCTGACTACAAACCTCAGAATCTCACCTCCCAGACACAGCATTGAAAAGGGATGACAGCAACCAAGTCACCCCCAGAGAGAACAAGGCAGAGGGAGAACTAAGCTGACACTCCTGCAGGAAGCTCAGGGAGGTCTTTACTAAAAAACAAAGGCAGTAAGGCAGTAACAGATCCATTTTTCCATTCTCCTGAGACAAAACTGAAGGCAGTGATTACTACAGACAGGTTCAGGTTAGTACAAGGTATCACCTAGAATCCTACTGGTTATCACCAAACTACTAACAGAATTAATTATTGCATCTACAGCTTAATTGTTAACAGATTATTATAAAACCTTGTACATCAGTAACACAGACTAGCAATGAAATGCTGGCCCAGGTCCACAGTGCTTCAGGGCTGGACACAGCCACAAAAGTGACAATGGGCAAGAGCAACACCATAGAACAGCTGCTAGACAATGACATGACAGCCACCAGCACTGATGACACGTGGCCATGAGCAAACCTGGATGTTTAAGGTAGGTACCGCGTCTTTCAGTAACTGAAAGCACACCTGCCTAAGCCTTTACCATGATATAACTAGCCAAGTTTACAGCACTGTAAGGTACCATACTGACTGTGCTCAACTGAAGAATTTGTGTGCAGAGCAACTTGAAGTGACCCTCATCAGATTTCCTCAAAAGTCTCTGTCCAAAAATTAAGTTCTGAAATGATCCTACTGCCAAGCACCAATTTCAGAATTATTTTAACTGAAAATCACAGAATCACAGAATGCTAGGGGTTGGAAGGGACCTCAAAAGATCATCTAGTCCAACTCCCCTGCCAGGGCAGGATTCACCAGTGTAGGTTACACAGGAACTCGTCCACACAGGTTTTGAATGTCTGCAGAGAAGGAGACTCCACAACTCTCTGGGCAGCCTGTTCCAGTGCTTTGTCACCTTCACAGTGAAAAACATTTTCCTCATGTTTAAGTGGAACCTCCTGTGTTCCAGCTTGTACCCACTGCCACATGTCCTACTATTTTGGTCAAGGAACTAGGAAGTAGCAGTCTAGTCTTAAGGTATGGTAAAGACAACTACTTCTGGGGGAAAGCCATCTGTGATGACAGAAGGTCAGACTGTGTCATTTGGTGTATCTCCAAGGTATATTTCAGACGGTTAATAAGTTAGGAAGCTTGGGAGTAATTCCTGCAGATGACACAATTCAGAGCACTGGGCTATATATGATTACAGATGTGTGCTTCAGGTGTGAGCTGGGGAAAATCATACCACCAGATTTCCTGGCTCAGCTACACTAACCTATGATGTAGGATGGATCCGAGGTTCAAACACACTTCCCTTCCCTGCATCAGAGAGTCTGTCTCTATCTTACTTTCTAAACCCAAAGCCACAGTCCATTTCCCCAACCCCTCAAGTCATCACACAATCTAGAGGAATAAAACACCATTAGGCAGGAAGGAAACAAACTCACAAAGGCAAGACAATGAAGCAAATAAAGCCTGAATATATGTGCAGGACTCAATAGCTGTCCAGATGAAAATGCAAGCCAAATAAAACCATTAAAAGCATTTATTTCTTCTGACACAATAATTTGTCATACACACGAACAAAAGAAGAGTTTCTGTGCACTTTTATTTTTCCATTCCAACACAAATTCTTGGAGTGACACCAATAATCAAAAAGCAGTGACAGTAAACATAACTCAAACAGCTAATAGAAATGTCTGTTTTTATCATCCAAGAGCATCTGTAAAGCAAAGTGTACTTCACAATTACATGGTCACTAAGCCTAAAATTGCTGACACATGTTCCTTTGGCATGTCTGGAACCCCCAACAACAAAAGTAATCGTTTTTAAATTTAGCTTTTTGTTTGGCAATGTTTTAGAAATACATACCAGATAGCAAATAGTAGTCTAAATCTTGCCCTGACTTACAAAACCACTGCAGGGAGTCTGTGGAGATATGAGTCAGAGGAATGTTTGGTACACAGATATTACAACAAAGCTCTCCCAGCAGCTTGTTTCAATCGTCCATCGTGCATGTGTTAACCTTGTAGAGCTCTAACAATACAGTGCAGGTTTTGATAAAGAGCAAGCACTTTGTGTCTCATATATTATTAGAAGCTTGTGATTAAATGATATTCAAAAGAGGAAGAATGATAGTGGAACAGACTAAGGACAAAGCTTTCAATTTAGCTCAGGCAAGCTTGTCAGTGTAATCTCTGGGATAAGAGGGATCTCCTAAGACATGGCATATCAGGGCTCATAGCTCTGTTGGAGCTTTAAAGTTAATATTGGTGGTGCCAGGACAGTAGAACTTATCTGGGAGAGTCCACTGGGAAACAACCCACTGTGAGATCCATATGCAACTGATGTGGACATGCAGCACAAGCAGAAGGCAGCTTTGGAGAAAGGAATGGTGTAATACCCCAAAGTGCTTGCACCCCTGTCTGCCCGCAGCACAGCACACACACCACCAAAAGCTTTCTGTTTGTAGAGCTCTCCTGTTTAATGATGGCCATCTGGGTACAGCATCACCCCTTTTAATTTTCATGCTAACTCCTCAAAAAGTCATCAATTCTAGACATAGACTTAGAGTATTTAGCTTTGACCAGATAATCCTAAAGAAGTGTAGAGAGATGGCAAACAGCAAAGTCAGAACAAGGGGAAGCTGTACCACAGCATCTGCCTTGACCTACTATTGCTGCAACAACCTGCAACTGCAACAGTTGTTGTATCTACCAGTATCTACTGCCTGTTCTCAAGACAAAACTCACAGCCGTCTCTCCCCAGACTCCCTGCCACTCTTCACCAGACACTTGAGCAGGGAACAGACCCACATCCCTACGCTTCTGCCAGCATGGAACTGCAAAATCATCTTCTATCTCCTTTATAATATCATCTACACTGGTTGCAGCTGCTCATGTGATGGACCTTGGCAGGTCCCACATTGCAGACAAGCAAACTGGCATCAATTGCAACCCGGAGTCACACAGAGAGCTCAGCCCAAGGAGGTGGCTCTGTCACAGAACCATTAAACACATTTCTCTGCATTCCTGCATCTCCTGCACTGGTGCTGCCACCTTGGTGAGAAATGCTCATTTAGGTTTCTCCACAGGCAACACACACAATGTGCATGTGATGTAAAAGCTGGCAGTTATATTCTTATTAATAAATATTCTAGAAAGCTTCAGCAACTGCTGAACAGGGCATATGTGCAATTTCCTTTTTTTTTTTTTTAACTCTTCTTCTAGTTTTTTCAGTTTTAGCAACCCAGTGCCATCACCAGCTGGATCCCTTATGGGCTTCCCCATAAACTGGTAATTGCATGTAGTTCATTTTCATGTTAAACTCTTCCCCTTTGCAGCTCCAGACACAACCCTCAGCTACAGCAAGTGTGGGACATGTGTCTCTATCACAGCCCTACTGGGAGTGACACTGCTGCCTTATTACCACTGACAGCAGCTGCACAACTCACCAGAAACCAGAGTTTACTCTGCTGCAAAACAGAAAGCAAATAAATGAGCACAATGCTTATTAAAACCAGCACATAAATCTCTCTGGTTCGTCTGGGTATAATTGACAATTTGTTAAAATCTACCCACTACAGCCCCCATTCAGAAGGTGGCAGTGCTTGAATCTGGAGTAAACCAGTTGTCTTCTGAGCAGGAATTCACCACACAACCAAGGAACCTGATGTCAGCTGTCATTACAGGAAAGGGTTCTCAAGGGAACCACAGAGGTGAGGACAATGTGCATGAAATGAATTATTTGGGCAAAATTGGAGAAACCATATAAAGCTCTTCCCACTAAAGAGATTAGTTGGTAACCTATTCAAGTACTAAGGATACATGCCTGAAACATTCCCTTTGTGTTATGCTGCAGAGTGTTTTCAAAGATGCCCTAAAAACATCACCACCATCAAGGGGATAAATGTTCATATTGGCACCGATATGACCCTTGTGTGTGCAAATAGTGAACAGATTATTAATGAACCTTCCCCTTTTGGATCTGCAATAACTACTGTGAATGTTCCGATATCTTTTCTGAGCTTGCAATGTTTGAGATGAACCTAACCCAAGGACTGGCCTGGGCCTACTGAAGTTCATGGGGTTTCAAATCTGGAAGTTTGGCTCAAATCCATCTTTACACAATAGCACCAGCCTGTTAGAAAACTTGTTCCTCCATGTTTAAGCACTGCATGCTAAGGTTTATAGCCTGGTAATTAAACACAGTCTGTTCTTTGTTCCTTTTTTTAGTTTGTTGGGTTTTTGTTGCTATTTTTTTTTTCTTTTTCTTTTTGGTGGATTCAAAACTCCATAAGCTTCAACATC